ACCGGACATATTCAAGCATGGGTCTTCTGAATCATGGAAGGGTGTGGTATAAAAGGCCAGAAGGGTAGATTGTGGACGACGTTGAGTGCAATTTTCATCGACAAAATGCCCGAGAAATTCAACGACCGAAGGATCGCTTATAGCAATAACCATATAGAAAATCTCGTTCGTTCTTAGCTTGCTATGCTTCAAATTTCATTTTTACCACTTGGACCACTAAAATATGCATAGCCATTATAAATAAATTTGAATCCGTAAAATGTACAGAAAAATATTTGACATTTTTCTAATGAATGGAAAAGCAATATCGACATATTTCCAATAATATTTCTTACTATATGCAACTACACAGGAAGAAGAATTAAGTAAAAATTACCCTGCAATTCAGGGTAACCCGGATATCTTGCACAAATAGAGTAAAAGTTACCCTATAAGATGGTAAAATTTTTTCTTCCGCCTTTTGAAAGTTCCTTCCTTGTATGGCAAATTTTACTACCATGCAGAGTAAAATTCAACCCGGTACCCCGATTGCCCTAAATTGCAGGATAATTTTTACTCAATTTTTCTTTCCGTTTAGATAAAATGATTATTATTATTATTATCATCATCATCATCAGAAAACATATTATTAATATTAAACATATGAATATTTTTCAGAATTATATGAATTAATAAATTTGCCGCCAATCAATTTTAATTATTATTATTACATTTTTTTTATACTGAAATCATTAAAAATCAACTGCACATCTGTTGTTAATAATGAATATTAATATTTATTTGTTAAAATTTTTGCTCAATATTAAAAATTATTTATCTTCATCATTTTACAATGAATAATTATGATAATAAATAGACATTCAGGAGGAAAAAAAAGAAAATAATTTGTAAATTTGTTGGAAAAAAATGAGCTCATATAATAAAATTCAGTCTTTCTCGTCTGTTTTTCTCTCTATTTGTGACGAGTTGAAACTCCTTCACTACATAAAAGTGCAAATTTTAAGCGCTCATATGAGACAGTCTCTTATATAGTCTCTGGCTGTTTTTCTATAGTTTTATATGGTTGCGCAAGCTCGCGATGGCTAACAGATGGAGGTGAAGAGGGCACAAGAGGAGACAGACGGGAAGTCGCGAAATTGCATTGTCACCTCAGCCTTGTGCGCCTTGCGTTTCGTTGGCACACCAGGAAACTTTCAGTGATGAAAAAAATATATATAAACAGAGGAGGGAAAGAAAAAAAAACAAAAAATGCTGAGAAAGAAATGGAAGTCTTGTTACATGACTGACGGCTAGAATAAAAAGAAGGTAGAGATCAAAAGCTCGGTCGTTAAATAAAAATTCACTTTATGAGAAAATTAATTTATTTACAATGTTTAAATAGAAATTCGATTAATTGACGAATCGAAATTAATACAATTGAATGGACATTTCTCAAATAAAAAAATTAAATAGTTCAAGTTTTGAAAAATTTTATTGAGTAAAAGAAAGAGTTATTTTTATTTTTAATCCTAAATTGAACACTGTAAAATATTTTTTATCATTGAAAGAACTCATTTATCTGATAATTAAATACTAACACTTGGAGAATTTCACTTCGTTAACAGCAAAAGAAAAAAAAGACTTCAAAGAAAACGAAAAATTAGGTTAATGATTTAATTTTTATTAAATCTCTATTTATTCAGACTTTTTTTCGAGTCCTTGAGATTACAAAGACTCGGAAACGATTGAAGGAAAAAAGTGGGATGAAAAATAAGGTTATTAGTCGTAGAAAAACTATCTAGATTGAATACAACAATCGACACTTGTGCTGATCCTGCTCATTAATTAACATTGTAACTGGCTGATTAACATATTATCAGAATAAGGCAGACATTGGCAATACAACGGAACTGCAGACAACGAGAATGTGGTGTTCAAGTTAGTAAAGGAATATCCGCGAGGGTTGTAAGAAGAGACGAAAAGGGTAGGAGTATATGAAGTTCATAGGGAAGAACAATGAGATAAGGAAGGATGAAAACAGAACAGAAGACGGGCTAGGAAGAGAAGACTCTAGTGCTCATGGTGGTGAAAGGGGTGTGTCAAGAAGAAAGCAGAGGTTGAGATATCCACGTCGAGTCCTGAAGCATACCTCGCAGGCACGTTCGACTATTAACCCTCTGAGATTCGGAGAACGCCCAACGACTCAAACCATTCTCTCTTATTTCCGTCGCCTCGTCACAAGAGACGTCCAACTGACGATGATCAAACCAACCTATCCCTTGTGCACATTCATTTTGCAGCTTCCTTCCTCCTATTTTCTTCGAGACTGCCACACCAGTCGCATTAACAAAACGTCACCTTCTCTTTTCTTATCCCTCTTACTGCTGCAGTTACTAAAATCCCTTCTTCGTTGAGATGCCTCATCCGATCCTCATTACAGAGAAGAATTGCCTCTGCATGTACCTTACTGCAACCATTTTGTTCCTTCAGAATGGAAAACTGCAAGAGAAAGGCTAAATGCGGATGAAAATAATGCGCCGAGAACGTGACTAGCTAGACTGATTTTCCGAAGACATTAAGAAATGGTTAACCTTTTGAAAATAATTTTAAATATTCTTACAGAGTTTCTACGCTATATTTCTTGTACGGTTATTAATCTCTCTATACAAAGGAGATCCAGCTTTGCAGATCTACTTTCGAATTTAATCAATTGATAATTATATAGCGTATTGTCAATATTCTTTATTTACTCCAGAATTCAATTTCTGAATAAAGTTGTCTACCAACAATATACCCTTTCAAATATTTTAATATAATCAATTGAAATATTTTTTTTTAATATTACAATTATTAAAATATCTGTAATATGTACCTTGAAAGCTCATCCTAGTGAGCTCATTAAAACTGTTTTATTTAAAACCACCGCATCATAGCACTAGTTGATTTTTAAAACAACAACTAGAAATTTCTATGTTTTATTAATGAGATAAATGAAGTCTAATGGCCATATTTTTCAAAAAAAAAAAAAACATTTATGCAAGCATTTTTTTCCAAAAGTGACATGGAAAAATATATCTCTTTTAACACTTGGCTTTTACTATTTTTCAACCAACACTTTATTCCAAAATGCATTCATTACATTTTTATGATCGGTAAAAATGATTGGACTTTGATGATTTAATTATTGAAATATTTCACACGATATGCATGAAATTAAAATTTCATTACCTTTTTTTTAATCAATCAATACTGAATAAATTCTAATTGAAAAAAAAATTTACATTTAATTAAAAATATTAATAAATTAACGTTGATGGGTTTTAGTTTATCTTAAAAATTAAATCAATTAAAAAATTTTCAATACAATAAAAAACTTTTTACAAAAAGTGCTAAATTATTTTATTAATACACTCGAGTTAGCCTTTCATGATGACAGACCTTTGTAGAACTTTAATGAGGCATTGATATATTAAGTAAACTAAACTATATAGCAAGTAATTATATAATTGCACTAACGATGCCTTTACTTGGTTGCTCAGTGCTATATGCAGCACACGTAACAATAGCATTATATACTATTAAAGTTAAACATGAAAGAGGAAGTGACGTAGTCGATATGAAAGGTATTCAAAGACATATATATGTATGGAAATTCATCGAAATTCGATAGGCCAGGTAAACCTACGCAATTGAAGGTATTAATGTTATCGCGACTAATAAGCCATCAAACCCTAGGAACAGCATGGTAGTATTACTCAAGAGTTGTAGCAAATAGCTATGGTGCATATAACAATTATATTATTACCATTAAAAAGCTAATAGATTATCTATAAAATGAGTTATCAGTCAGCCATCTGTTGTATGATAAATTGTATCATTTCATACTAATAATGTTTACTAATCACCGTTACATCATCAATGTCCATTTATTTATCTTGACGATTAATTGGGTTATTTTTTTTTTAGTGGTTCTCTTTATTTGACTTTTGTTTCACCCCTTAATAAGCTTCCTTTTTACATTTGTTTGCGTCTTGTAGATTGTCCGGTGCGTGTTAAATCTATATCAACACAAAAGGAAGTAACTCTCACTGAACGCGCGGTAGATGCGATGAACATGGCGCAAGCGCTATCCTTAACCCCCGCGTGTTGGAGGTGGTGAACTCATTCTACGAAGACGAGTTGAAATTCGGAGTGAAGCAAGTTTCAGTCGGCCGGCAAACTCGCGTGCCGTGCCTTCACGTCAGATTATCACGTCGTTTCATGTTTTTTCCGGTCGAAGGTGCTTCCTTTTTTCCGGTCAAGCCCAAGTCGTTACTGTGTTCACTATTGACTTCATCATATCAGGATTATTTCTACACTTATCTATGATGAAATACAATTTTTCTATCCCTTTAAGGGTTTATTATATTATGAAATAAAAATTCAGAAAAAATTCAAGTGTTTTTAATTAGTCATTTGAGAACAGTTAATCAATGATCTTTGATAATGCAGTTTTTCTATTTGATATCCTTGCTCAAAGGGATGCAATGAGTAGTGAGTCGTTGAATACAAGTGTTAAGCGCGTGTGATCAAAGTGAACACAATTAAGGGATCGTGAGAGTGAACAGCACGAATTCAATCACGAAACTGCATTAAGCAGTTGGTGAAATACAATCACTAGGACTTTTAATTATTTATGTATCACATAATTAACTTTAGAAGGTATTATTATACGATAAAGTAGTTAAACAGTTTTGATCGTTAGAGATATTAATGCTATCCTGAGTGTGAATGACTGATGATCTTCAAGTGCACCACTTGACTACCTTTTTTTCAACTGAACTGTTTTGACAGGATCCTTTCGGCAGTGAACAAATATTTGAGTTCGCGATATATTTTAATTTATGGAGATGAAAACAAAACATATCTTTAACGTATCTTAAATTTTTTAAATATTATACATAATAATAATGATAATAACTGTGTGAATAAAACATTAGATTTTATTAGACTGAAAATGATAAAAGTAAAATAATAAAACTTTTTATAAAGAAAAATTTTCTTTTATTAGAGTGTGATATTGTTAGTAATCACTTCTAATTTCACGTTAATCGTAATCGGTAATAGGACCTTATAATCTGTGCGATTCAAATGCCCGAAAGTTGAACGAAAATTCCAATGTGATCACGTCGAACGGAAACGAAAGATTAGCAGGATAATAGCTTGGCCAATTGAGAATGCAGGAGTTCAAAGACTTTGATCGATAATTAGTTGTTTGAAAAAGTTATAATAGTAGAATAAATTAACGAAATTGAATAAATGTGATGAATTATATGGTTTCAATATCAAAACAGTGAATGGATAAAAGGTAAATTATTTATTATATTCAATTACATATTTCGAGAATTTGTTTTTTTTTTTTTCATTTTTTAAATTCTTCACTTCCTATTTAAATTCAGCGTTCACATATAGAGAATAAAAATATTCCAATACTAAGAGAATTGCTATTTAAAGTCATTAAATACATTTATAAAAATTTTTTAATGGATTTTTTATAGGATGAAAAATTGAAAAACAATTAGTGATGTGGAGAAAAAAGTTTTGAATTTGCTTGGATAAAAATAGAATTAAAATTTTTTGTTTGATGGATAAAATTAAAAATTATGATTTTTTGATCAATATTATCAAAGATTTCATTAAATCGATGCAGAGTTTCAAATTCTTTAATCTAGTTAAGTCAGTGATTTGCTTAAGATATACATAACAGGATAAAATGAAGAGCCAAGTAGTTTAGCTCAACGATATAGTTTACCTTTAAGTCATCTTAAGATGGCTATATACACTCGACTAAAATTAATCTCTTACCATATTTCTAAAAAACATCAAGATTATAAAAAATTATGCAGTTTATTTTAATAAAAAGAATTGGATTTTTGAATTATTAGGGTTCTAATGTTTGCCATAATCTTTAATACATTAAGGAAATCAATTTGATTCAGTCAAGAGGATTGAAAATAAGAGAGAGATAAGGTGTGCCATTGAAACTTGAAGAAGTTGCCGTAATGAAGCGACTCGCAAACTAAGCTCTGCGAGTCATTATCGTCTTGATCATGCAGGCACACTCGAGTTCTAATAGTTTCAAGACTATAGTCTTTAGATTGCTATTTCCTGTAGGTTTACTTTCTTGTAATTCTCCTAAAAGTTTCGGCATTTCTCGTTCAAAGAATAAGACAAGTTAAGAAGTGATCGAAAATACGGAAAAGTTTATGTTGTCAGAGATCAGTTAGACATTTTCGGATTAATTTGATTTTGTGCAATTGACGTGTTTGTAATTACTTCATCCTCATTTTTACCCTCCATTTCTAACACTTTTGCTGTTTTAATTTCATCAGCTTATTTTTCTTGCAGAGTTATGAAGAAAAATCATGTATCTAGAGTTCTTGAGTGGAAATACGTGTTAGAAAGAAAAAAAATGACCAAAGTGAAAGTATAAATGCACGAGCGAAAAGGTCGCTGATGCTTTTCACTCTTATTTTAACGTCTCAGTTGGATTTTTCACATTCAACAATTACAAGTTTTTTTCCTCATACTATAGTTTAGTACATTTCTAAAGCGTGTTCGTGCATGTTAATATTAAAACGCGACTGAAACACGATCATCAGTGACCTAAATGTAAGAAAAAAGTTCATGGAGATTGCTTTGTAATTTCAATTTTCTTTGCCTTCATTCTTTTCAATTTTTTCTTTCTATTTTTTAGTTTGGTTTTTATGATTTGAGTCACAATGATAGCTCACTCGAGCTTTAATTACAATTTTTCCATAGAGAAAGACAGAAAGAGTAAGCCTCATTTCAGTCGAGTTAGTAATATCTACGATATACATCAGAATAAGAGGAAAAGGTCAAGTAGTAGCCTTGTTCCATGATATTTACTTTCATATCTACTAACTTCGTTGCCTAATTACAAATCAAAGATCTCTTTTAACTTATTTTCATCAACCACTCAAGTGGAATGTGACCTTTTCATTTAATTACTAATTATCTTTTTTTCCACTTATTTATTCATTTTTTCCAATACGATAAAATCATCATATTTTTTTTGCAATCAAATAAAATGGTTCAAAACTCTAAATATCTTGCATCAAAGTGCTTATATAATACTTTTCAATTCTAAGCTGATGTTTTTTGAAATTTCAAATGGGTCAAGAAGTTTTTTCAATAATATCATTTACCTTTATATTGAACATTTAAATTTGTTAATTGATTGAAAAAAAATCATTTACCAAGTTCAGATGTATTTTTAATATTTATTTCTAATTAAGATCCCTTTGATTTTTATGATTATTTGTGTTTGGAAACTTTTTTAATTTTGATATTGAATTTGCAAAGGAGCTTGGGTTCTGATGAAATTTTTAAGAGCATGAGATATTTATAAAGTATACTCTATCAGTTTATTATTAAAAAAATGTCTTATAGAAAAAATTCGTATATTTTTGATAAGCATTCCAATAATTTCATCAATTTTCTCATAATTTTCTTTCAATTCAATCTCAACTCCAGTTCTTCCAAGTTTATACCGAGAATTCAAGTTTAAATTACTGATATACATTGTGTGTATTGAAAGTATAAAAGAAAATAGTTCCTTTCGTTTAAGTTATTGATATAGATCTCCAAACTAGTTTTAGATTTTTTCTTTCTGTAACCACTCGATAAATGATTGGAAAAATAGCTCCGTGTAGAACAGGAAAAAGAGAAAGTGAGATGTATTGGGAATACTTTATTTTCTGCCATTTTTCTTTGTAAACTTTGAAAAATAGCAGCTCTCATAGATGCTATTTCTATGGTCACGAGAACCAGTGAGAAATCTGTCGAAATTTGATCGAACGTTTACATGGATATATCGCTTTGGAATTTTTTATACCACATGTCGATCAGACTTTGTATTGTCTCATGGACTACGTAGATATTTTTCATTCGTCTCAACTTGAGCTTTTATATTTTACCTTGAAAGTAAACAGCGTGATCGAATCAACTGTAGTCAGTTTTTATACAAAAAAAATTTCAACAGATTCTTCTAGGACGTTTTTCTTTTTTTTGGTCACCACCCATTTGTGTTTCATTTACTTCTTGTGTATTTTCAGAAACCTTTGCATTTCCAATTAGAGTTGTGCAACCCTTGTGTAGTTAAAGGATCTTAGAAGCTTGTTATAATTGTAGTTAAAAAAAGGTGAGTTTTTTTTTATTATTTCAAAGTCTTTGCCTAGAGTAACTCTAGGACAGTTACTTTGACATTTCCGAGTATCTGCAATAGACGACATTCCAACGAGCTTTTGAGGAAATGCAGAAGAATAAAAAAAATGGAAAAAACTGGAGATGAGATGGCAGAAAAGAACTGAAACATTTAAAACCTGAAAAGTTTCATTTGAAAATCTAATTAAGTTATTCAATTAACAACCTTCTTCCTTTGCTTACTCAGATGTTGTAGCATCATCAAAAGACATTGAGAAGAAAATTATTTTCTTTATTTTAATTGTCATTATAAAATCATCTCTAAATATTCAATAAATTATTACACCACAAAAAATATACACTGACCTAATTATTAATTTTTTTATCAACATTCATAATAATTTTCTGCTCTTTGAATCATTACTATTTTTACCATTTGAATTTCAAGACTCACTTTGATGAGTTAAACTGAAAAGAAATTCTTTCTTATCATTTAAATCATAAATACAATTATTTAAAATTGATTGAATATTCAAATTTTAGTCTCATTGAAATAAAAATTTATCTTCAGTGAAAATAATTATAATTCTTATCACATGTAAACGTGTGAGATTATATATGATATGATAAAAAGATAGATACAAGGGTTCGTTTAACACAGCAATTTGCTTTACACTCTATTCCCCTTCTGAAATAAAAGCTTGATATTCCCTTTTTTATCAAGGATAATTTTTCAAAATTTCACCCTTACATGCCTATTTTCTACCCTACGGAACAAAGGATCAAGATCTGCTTTCTGAATCCAACCATTTTTATAATCAATAAATAACTTCTTTATAAATTAATAAATCATTCAATTGATTAAACTAACAGGAAACTTATACAAAACTAATTTGTAGGGTTTCCCATGTGATCCAAAGTGATATTTGATGATTATTCTGACGCTGTTTCGTGATTAATAGATAATTATTGAACGGTAATGACATTGACAAACGTTAATTAATATATTAGCCAGCTAGTATGCCATTATGGATAATAATTTCATTGATAAATATTAAATAAGCTGTATCAATATGATTCTTTGAAGGTTTAATTTCTTCAGTTTACATATAAAATATACAATACACATTCATAAAATCTAATAAAGTGAATGATTTACAGAAATTAATATACGTCAGTGTGAAAAGTCTGCTAGATAACGTAGAAGAGTTTGATGGCGACTTGCCAGACTACTGCCGCGTTCAAATGAGCTTTGAGTTCAGATCCGGCTGTCTGAGTCGGCCGAGTTCTTTACTTTTCTTTCATAGAGGGATAAATGGACGGAGGCCTGACGTTCAAAGAACTCAAATTCAAATTCCGCTGGTGTTCATCTATTCGCTTTCTTTTCCACTGCTTCATCACTACACTCTCACTTGGACACGTTTCTTTTAAAAGGACGTCTACTGTAAATGGCAAAGCTACCCGCTTCGTTTGGATGATGTAAACTGTCTCGGTAACTTGTTCCAGTTCGAACACTTTGCCTGACGTCCGACATATTTGCTCAGCGGCTTGTCCAAGATTCATCGGCTTTCTTTTACGATACTCACTTTGCAAATGTTTTCTGACGTTTTATTTACCATCTTGGCTGCCAGTTTGCTATCAAAAATAGTCGAGCTGATATTTACTTGAATATTACTTGATATTACTTCTATTCTTCGGTTATGGAGACGACAGTAGTTTTTTGGATTACCCAACGTGATATTCCAAGTTGAAGATTGACAATTTTCAACTTCAAGTCACTTATTTAATAATCATGTATAAAAGTGTATATTTTTATGTTAAAATATGTTCATTGAATTTATTGAAATGTAGATTTATTTTATTAAATTTAAAATATCCACATTGAATGTCATACAATCCTTTCATCAGCCAATACGATAATCAGATTATGCACATGCAATACTTGTTAATAACTAAATATTATTTAGAAACTTTTATAAATAAATAATTCACTAAAATTTTATTTTTATGTAAAAATATAATACACTTAACCAAACATAAACTATTGCTATAAATGTTAAATATTTATTAATAGTTATAAATTATAAATAAATTGTAGAAGTTTTATATTTGTATATCCATGATTATAAAATCATCATAAAA